TCCAGAGTGTTGCTAAAGCCTCTTCTCATTCTTCCTTTCTCTACCCCAGTTCAGGCACTGCGGTGACAACAACAGGGAAGAAACCAGTGACACCAGGACCACCACTTAGGAAGTGGGAAATTTCCAGGGACGAGCCCTACTTGTGAGCAGGGAGCGAGCTGAGGCTGTGATGGGCACACGTGGTTCCAGAGCTGCTCTGGTGGGGCGGCTGTGCTGCATGTGGCCCCAGGCTGCTGGAGGGTGCTGATGTCTGATTAATAAATGTATATAAAGCTGTGATTACTACCCCCCCATTTTGCGTATTTTATTTGATTTATTCAGGTTGCTGCTGTTTAATACCAGTGTGTTTGGTTGGTTGGAGTAGTGGCACAGGACAGGGGCGTTTGTAAGCTGTAGTCAGTCAGTGAAGAGCAGAGCTGAGTAAAGCACAGCCTCGCTCACAGGGCTCCCCCCGGCACCAGGTCTGGGAGAAAAGTTCCGCAGCCTCGGCAGCCGCCGCCAGTGCCGCTGTCCTGCCGTGACCGCACCCTGCTGGCTCCGGCAGAGCGCTGCGCGGCCCTCCGCGGGGCCAGCAGGCCCTGCCCGCCGCCTGCGGGGCTCTGCGGGCCCGCCCGGCTGTTCCTGGTGCTGCAAGGCGGGCACGGTGCGGCCCGGTGCCGCTGCTGCGGGGGGACCCGGCTGTGGCTGTGCCGGTGCCGGTGCCCCGGTGCCAGTGCGGGCCGGGCCGGCTGTGCCGGTGCCGGTGCCCCGGTGCCGGTGCGGACCGGGCCGGTCCGGCCCGCTGCCGCGGGAGCGCCGATCGGCACGGGCGGCCCCTCCCCCTCACGTGACCCCGGGGCCCGCCCCGAAGGACACGGGAGGTGGGCGGGGCTTCCTCAAGGGCGCGCGTCCGCACCCCGCCCCCGCGCCCACCCCATTGGTGGAAGTCGGGGTTGAGCGCACGCGCTTTTCCTGCACACTCTGCGTTCGTAGCGGCGCGGCGACCCTAGCGAGTCCCTCCGGTGCGGGCCCGCGGCATGGCCGGGCCGCGACTGCCGCCAGGGCTCCCGGTGCTGCTGCTGCTGCCGCTGGCGCTGCCGGTGCTGCCGCTCCCTGCAGGCAACGGTGAGCTGGGGGCGCGGCTGGGCGGGCGGTGCCCATTGGCTCCCCGCGCACGCCCTTCGCTCCCATTGGTTGGAGCCCTCGTGCGCCCCGCGCGCGGGTCCCCTCGCTGCGGGGCGCGGGGGGGCTCTCCCGCCGGGCCCCCGCTCCCCTCACGCTCCCGTCCCGCAGCCGCCCCGTCCCGCTGCCAGCCGGACCAGTTCCAGTGCGCGCCCGGCGACCTCTGCTTCCCCCAGGACTGGCGCTGCGACGGCCACCCCGACTGCGAGGACGGCGAGGACGAGTGGAGCTGCGGGACCGCGACCGCGACCGCGGCGGAGCCGAGTCCCGGCGGCCTCGCGGTGACCCCGCCGAGGAGCTCGGCGGTGCCGCCCACCGGCAGCGCAGGTACGGGGCCCGGGGTGCGGGGGGGCGGCAAGCCGGACCGAAGCCTTTGTTCCCGGCGATCCGGGCAGCTGCGGTCACCGCGGGTCAGTGCGAGTGGAGGAAGCGCTGTGGCGGGCGCGCACCTTCCTCAGGGCTCCCTCGGGAAGGGCCTTTGAAGTACATCCTTCCTTCTTCCAGAACATGCAATTCCCAGCCGCTGCTTCGAAAAGACTCTGGAACCTGTCCACCTCCCGGGCTCCTCTGATCTCTGGGGAATGGGCAGGCTGAAGGGAAGAGGATAAGGAGGCAGTCTGGGCCATCAGGGCTGGCCAGGAGCTGCAGACACAGTGTCTGGGCTCGTGTCCGGCTGTGTCTGCACCCAGTGCTGTTGGTACCAGCGCCCTGGAGCGTCCTTTGTCAGACCCATTGCTGGCTGGGGTGCTTGGCAAGGCGCTTCTGGCTTCCCTCGTTTCCGAGGGTGTGGAGAGGAGGGGGATTACTGCAGGTGCGACACACTGGGTTTGGGTTTGATGTCTGCACCCCTTCAATTGGCAGGTGAAGGGAAGAGCTGCATTTTGGTTGTACCTGTGGCTTTTCAGTGCCACGAGGACAGGCTGGGATCCTGCAGTTCCAGCTCCAGCTGGGAAATTTCCCACCTTTCCCTGTTATGCATTTCCAGTAGAACGTTTTTCCTCCAGTAGCGGCAGATAAGGTTTTGCTTAAATTGAAAAAGGCCTTTTGGTGCTCTTGAGGTGAGCTGGGAACTCAGCCAGGTGTAGATTGAAGACTGCTTTCAGTGCTGACCATAAATTGCAAGCCTCATGTAGTTGTTTCTCTTTCCTCACAGAGCCTTCAGCTACACCTGAGGTCTCTGTGCCATTGGGGAGTCAAGGTTACACATGGATCTTGATTGTTGCAGGTATGTGAGACTCAAGAGTGCTGCACGTGGTCTTGAACCTACCTACCTTGGGCTATAAATTGAGTATCCCTGATGGGGTCAATTCCAGACCTCTGTCAGGAGCTGCTTTTTCTGCACTGGGAGGACTAAGGGAGGCCTGACACCACAGCTTAATTATTGCTCTGCCTTGGGTGTTTTGTCCTTGGAAAGGCCATTCCATGCAATCTGGGACTAACTCACCTTCTCTTTGTCTGTCCCTTGCCCTCTAGGGCCACTGCTGCTCTCTGCTTGTTGGCTCATGGTATTGAGCAGCAGTGCCCTGTCCCAAGACCAGGGCAGTGAGCAGGTTTCTGCTTGTGTTCTCTCCTCTCTAGGGCTCCTGGTTATCCTGGTAGTGGCAAGTTCTGTTGCTGTGTGGGGTCTGTCCAAAGCAAAACGCAGATCTGACACCTCCGGTCTTGAAAAAGCATCCAGGGAACAGCTGATGCCTGGCAAGGGCCAGAAAGGCTCCTTGCCCTGAAGGGTAAGTGTTTTGCATCCCATATGCTCCAAGTGCCTGAGGGAGAAATTCATTCTTGCCTTGTGTTTCTGGCTTCTAGAGCTTTCCCCTTTGGGGGTAGGTTTTCCCAGCTTCCCTGATGCTTGCCAACCAGGTGCATGGGGTTTTGGTCTGCCCTGCAGCAGGAGAACTCTCCCCTTTCCTCCTGCTGCCAAGGACATCGAGCAGTCCTGCTGAGATACTGGTCTTCTGGTGTAGGACTTTTCCCTCCACTTTGTATAAATTGAAGTCAAACTAGGTTTCTTCCTAAGGGCCTGTCAATAACCAGGTGTTTTTCTGGCTTTGTAACAGGGATCCTTATCCCAAGGTGATAAGGTGAGACTAGCCTGATCTGTCTCCTGCTCACCACAGAGCCTGACTGAATTGGACATCAGCTCTCAAATCTGGGTTGTTACACTGGAATACCAAGAGGATGCTCCCTTTGTAAATGGGTCTTAGATTGTAGGACTACCTTGGCTCCAGAAATAGCACAGGACCTTCCCTGGCACTGTACATCAGCCCTCCCCGAGGGTAGAAATGTCTTCATTGTTCTGCATGACAGTCGTTACTGCTGGTGACCACCACTGTGGCCTTGGACTCGAAGATGTTTTTCTTCTTGAAATGCCAGGTGCTGTTCAACTGTCTCCTTCCACTTCCAGCCAAGACCCTTTTTTCATGTGTCCCATTCTTCCCCCTGGATTTTGTCAGGGAGCAGGAGCTTTCTCACCTATTTCCAAAGGCACTCGCTGGCTGCACAGGTCAGACAAATACTCCATGTTTGCACTACTGTTTGATGCTGCTCAGTCCCATGCATGGGAGGCTTTTACTGGCAGTGCCACTGTGGGGGTGACAGTTGCTCTAGCTTTGCTGTGCTGTCACCTGAGCCCACGTGGGGCAAGGAGCTCCTCAGCCCTGGTCTGGCAGCTTCTCTCACACTCCCTTCCACAACATCTCCATGCTTGGCAGACCTGCTCTGCCCACCCCAGTGCTAATGCTGCATGGGGCTCCTCTTAACACTCTCAATGGCGTCTTCCTTAAAACTGTTCTGACATGAGTGGTGTCCCTCGGGGTCCATACTGGGACCAACGCTATTCCATGTTTTCATCAGTGTGTAGAGTGGGATCAGGTGGACCCTCAGCCAGTCTGAGGATGAGACCAGGCTGAGGAGTGCAGGTGGGCAGGGGAATGTCATCTGGAGGGACCTTGAGGCCCACAGGAACCTCATGAAGTTTGATAAGGTCCTGCACTTTTGTTAGGGCAAACCCTGGAGAAGAGATGGCTGCAGGAAGCCTTGTTGTGTCTTGTCCATGTCTGAAGGGGGATTGTAAGAACAATGGAGAGGGGCTTTTCACCAAGGCCTGTAAGGGCAAGGGGCACCAGGTACAAACTGACAGAGGGTGGGCTTAGGTAGGACATGAAGGAGGGTTTTATGGTGAGGCCCTGGCTCAGGTTGCCCAGAGCAGCTGCAACTGCCTCATCCCTGGGACCAAGCTGGACAGGGCTCTGAGTGTCTTGGTCTAGTGCAGGTGTCCCTGGAAATAAGTCATGTCTTTGGCCAGGGCTCCACGTGCCACCCAGACAGCACCTGACCCAAGGACTGAGTGCTGTGTGCCTCTCAGAACTGACTGTGCAAGGGCAGATTAGTGCCCAGTGCCTCTGGTCCAGCCTTGGCCACGTGCACCTTGCACAAATGATCACTAAGTGTGCCAAGCTGCTGCCTTGGCTGCTGACCTCTTGTGCCTTGAAGGTGGGAACTTGGCTTGCCAAGCAGACGCCAGTCATCAGCCTTGGAGTAGGAGTCTTCTGCTCCTGGATAGCATGAGAGTGCTGCCATACTCCACGGGAGAAACTTCTATATGTGGTATGGAGTCCCGAGTTATTCCAGGGCTGCTATTTTTAGTACCAAGGAGTCATTTGCAAGGGCACACACAACCTTCTGTTTCCATAGGGACAGACCATAGCTGTGGTGACTGACACAGGACAATAAAGAATGTGAAATTAACAAGTCCTGGAGTTCTTATTTTCCTGGATATGTGCATTTGCATGGATTCTGTATTTGGGAGGCCAGGGGCTGCATGACCTTTGGATTGTCACATCCTGGGAAAGAGGGCTTGGGGTGGATGGGCTGGCATGGGGCGCTGTGGGGAAGCCAGTGCTGCTGTGCCTGCCTGGAACAGATGTGACTCCAGCACACACCAGGTGTAGCAGAGAAAATTAAATACAGGAACAAAGCAAACAGAAAGGGTGGGGACAGGAGGAACAGATGCCACAGTAGCACCTCTGCTGCCACTGCTGAACTCAGCCAAAAGCAAGGTGAAAAAAATGCCTGAGCTTGTCCCTTCTTTGCCAGAGCAGAGCACAAAGTGGGGAGCACTGCGGGGTGGGAAGGGCTCCAGGAGTGCTGGCAGGACAGGGCTGAGCTGGGGCCAGTTGAAGCGCTGGTGCTGGCAGGGCCATGTGGCCGAGGTCAGCTGTCACCAGCTGGTCCCAGATCATGCTCTGAGCTGCACCTGCCAAGCTGAGCCCGGCTGTTCTGTGGTACAAGGCAGAGTGATTCCCCCGTGGGGGGGAATCAGTGGGGAGTGAGGCCCTGAGGCAAACTCACAAGACATTGCAGGTTTTGCTTTCTGCTCCCTGAGCTGAGTGCTTCAGGATTGAAAGAAACACATTTTATGGATCTTGTGCCAAAACTCGGGGCTGTGTTTCTGATAGCAATTTCCCTTCCTCTGTCCAGTGCTGGAATTGTTTTTGTTGTTCTAATCCCCAGGCTCAGAGACTTCAATTGTAGTGGAGCCTGAGCTGCTTTTCAGGCCAGGAGCATCTTTGTGCTCCATGTCTCTGTATTTAATTAGACCAGTTCATGAAGATCAATGTGATGTTTTCCATGTTGAAGTAGGATCGTGTTCCAGGATAAGACGTCAAAGATCATCCTGTTTAATTTTGCTTCCCTTTTTACTTCCAAATCTAAATAATTTTTTTCTCTTTTTCAATTCCAATACTTCAGAGGAACTTTTACTGCCTACTTGCATTTCCAGTGTCCTGTTCCCTGTTCCTGTCCCTGCCTGGCTGTGTCATGGGGCTGAAGGCTGATGTGACAGCACAGAGCAGGGGCACAGGGGCAGCTTGTCCCTCAAAGGATCATCTCAGACACTGTGGAGGTGGAGGTGGTGCCTGCACCTCATCCCCTCTAAATCTGCACTGTGGGACTTGAGGGATGAGCTGAGAGGTCATGACCATCTCCCTTCCCTGGCTGTGACAGCTGACAGCCAGGGCTGCTGTATTAGCCTTTAACGAAGGGCTGGTGCCAAGAGCAGCATCTGGTGTGGGGATACAAAGCCAGTACAAATCCTGCATGTCTGCACCTTCCTGTCCCATCAACAGAGGGTAAATTGAGGCAAGTTTGTGCTTTTTCCAGTTTGCTGTCATGGATGTCCTTCCAGGAAACAGCATCCTCCAGCAAATGCAAACAGCTAATAAGAACAGAATAAGGGAAAAGAGAAGTGCAGAGCTAGAAATAGTTCCTTACATAAAGGACTAGTGCCTTAATCTCATTAGTGTCTTAAGGAGCGGGCACTTGGCCGCCTCCGACTGGTGGGATGCAAACCTCAATCTGATCAGCAATCGGCTTTGGGACCCCAGCAGGTGCCACGTGGCACTGGGACACAGCTGTGCCCCTCGGGCAGCCACTCCGCTGCCCCAAGCTTGCAGCATTCGTCCCAGTCAGCATGTGGCCAGTGGGAGCGTTCCCCTGAAGCCAGAGCTGCTGTCCTGTGGCCCATAACAGGAGTCACCACTTTGGAAGGCCGGGCACCATGAGGCAGCAGTGGACCAGGCGCGCGAGCCTCTCGGCCAGCCTGAAGATTGGGGATCACCGGGGCCGCTGCCGGACCCCGGAGGAAGAGGAATACTACATCCCATTTGCACAGGACAGCCTGATAAGGCAATGGAACTCCATGCAGAACGTGGCAGATGGTAACCAGGAGAAGAGCCAGACTCCCATCCAAAGGAACAAGTATCTGCTCAACATTAATGTGGGTGGCAAATTGTTCCAGATAGCTTACAAGGTACTGGCCCGGTATCCCATCACCCGGCTTGGGAAGCTGGCGCTCTATACGGACCCCATGAAGAAGCTGCAGCTCTGTGATGACTACTTGGTGCAGAAGAATGAGTACTTCTTTGACAGAGATCCTTCAATTTTCCACTACATCTTCCACTTCTACCGCAGTGGGGTCCTGTGGGTGATGGATGAGATGTGCCCCAGTAACTTTGTGGAGGAAATTGAGTACTGGGGAATCCATTTGAAATACTCCCAGCGCTGCTGCCGGATCCTGTTAGAGGAAAAGCGAGATGAACTCAGTGAGTACCTGAAAATAGAGAAGCAGCTAGAGGCAGAACTGGAGCCCCTGGAGTCAGGGACACAGTTTGATGGCAAGTTTCTGGGTCGGTTTCGGAAGATGGTCTGGAACCTTATTGAGAACCCGTACTCTTCTGTCCCAGCCAAGATCATTGCTGTCATGTCGAGCTTCTTTGTGCTTATCTCCATTGTGGGCATGACACTGAGCACAGTGGAGGAGATGAAAAACAAGACAGGGAAAATGTGGATGGAGCAGATGGAGATGATCTGTGCCATCTTCTTCACCTCTGAATACCTCATGCGGCTCATATCCTCCTCCAGCTTCAAGAATTTTCTGCGGGCAGCGTTTAATGCTGTAGACCTGGTGGCCATCCTGCCTTTCTACATCCAGATCCTCTTTGAAAATCTGGATGATGGAGACATGCAATACCATGAGGAGCTGCACAAGGTGGAGAATGTGAGCAAGCTGGGCAAAGTCCTCAAGCTCGTCAAGCTCATGAGGATCTTCCGCATCCTCAAGCTGGCACGTCACTCCACTGGCCTCCGGGCCTTCAGCTTCACCATGCGCCAGTGCTATCAGCAGGTTTGCTGCCTTCTCCTCTTCATTGCCATGGGGGTCTTCACCTTCTCTGCTCTCATACACTCGGTGGAACATGATGTCCCTGGCACTGACTTCACCAGTATCCCCTGCGCGTGGTGGTGGGCAGCGGTAAGGCGTGAGCAGCATCTTGCAGAGGGGGGTGGGGGGGCTCCTTGAGTAGGGGCTGCCCCAGTGCTCAGGGGATTCACCACTGCTACTGGGCAGGAGGCAGAAAGGGCCCAGCCTTCCCACCAGCTCAGTAATGGTGGGAGTGCCCTGCGTGCTCTAAGAAAAGAAGTCAGAGGTTTGGACTGAGCTCAGAGGCTCAAAAGCTGGTGCTGGGGTGGGATGGTGGGGCAGAGGTGGTGGCTTGGGAGCCTCCAGGCCTGAGTTGAACAAGGGGGATGTGACTCAGCTTTATCTGTCATGGGACCCAAGTGCTGAGTGGATGCAGCCTGTGGGTATGGGGACAGCCACCCTGGGCAGCCTAAGGCCTGGGCAGCATTGCAGCCCTGCTGAGCTTGAGGGGCACAAGAGCTTGTGGGTCTGAGATGGCGAACCCCTAGCCACAGTGTGACTAAGGCTGCATGTGGCACCCACAGTCACACTGTGCCTCAGCCCGTGTCATGAGAGCGGGCACAGTCTGGGGTGTGCTGCCCGTTCGCTGCCCTGCTTGTGCCAGGAGCCGGCAGCTCTGCAGAGCTGAGCACTGTAATAAACCTGGCATTACCTCCGAGATGGGGAGCAGCTAAAGCACTCGAGAGCCACAGGTTATGAGGACATTTTGATTTACAGATTAAATGATCCCACAGATCATTTCTGCTTTTCTAATCCCCTTTCGCCACTGAAGGTTATCTGCTTCAAATTCATCCCTCCTCAAGGAAGGGAAAAATCACTCAGCAACATCACCAGGTTCAAGCATTTCAACATCCTAGGCTGAGCCTTTCCCTGGGAGCACAGCTCCCTGCCAAGCCCAAAACTCTCTGGCCTCAGATCTCACCATAGCCCTGCTCCCCATTTACTAAACATGGTTCATTCCCAGCAATGCCTCTGTTTCCCCTGGAGGGAGGCTCCAGGAAGCTTTGTTTGTCTGGGCCAGGCAGCTCACAGCCAGGAAGCTCGGGAGCCACGGCTCTGAGGGGAGAGGAAGTCCCTGCAGATGCTGACTGCTGGGGAAGGCTCAGCTCAGGGGAATCCAGCTGCCTTTGAAGAGACACACACAAAAGCAGTGAGGGAGCAGAGTCTGGCCTCTGATCTGTGCTTCTGGGGTTCAGCCAGCCCTTTCCTTTGTCTCTCCAGGCCTGCTGGGCGCAGCCTGGACAGTGGAGCCCTGGCCGTGCAGGTTCCGGAGAGGGGACAGCTCAGCTGGCGGTCGTCAGGGTCAGAGTCTGGTGCTGGTCACAGGGAACAGGCGGCTCCACAGAGGGGCAGGAGGGAGTGAGTTCCTGCACCAGTTGGTAGGGTCTGCTGGGCTTCTTCCCATGGGATTTTATCCTTTTCTGTCCCTGCACAGGTCAGCCTCTCCACTGTGGGCTACGGAGACACTGTGCCTGACACAATACTCGGCAGGATGGTGGCATTTTTCTGCATCTCCTTCGGCATCATCCTCAATGGAATGCCCATCTCCATCCTCTACAACAAATTTTCTGACTACTATGCCAAGCTGAAGGCCCATGAGATGAGCCAGTCACTTCAGCTTTCCAGGAGGATCCACCTGAAGAAGCGAGTCCTGCAGAAGTTCTCAGAGTGCTGGAGAGCTGACCCCCGCTATTACCGCTGACCACAGGCTCCCCACGGCCCAGACATCCCCTGTCCTGGCCATCCTCCCAGGTCCCGTCCCCCAGGGAGGCTCCAAGCTGTGGGCAGAGTCACAACAGTGCTGGGGCTCTGCTGCTGCACAGGGGTTGCTCCCAGCTGGGACCTCTCTCACTGCTGGACCATGCTGTCCCGCAGAGCAGTCAGTCGGGGCTGTACGGCCAGGGCAGGATGTTTGTCTGCCATGGGCTGAGGCAAGGGGCACCCTGACATCACGGGGAGTGAGGGATGGGACTGGACTGTCACCTGTGTGAGGCAGGTAGCCCAGTGTGACTCATGTGCAGGTGCTGCTCCATTTCCCACTGAGTGGGACACACCCAGGCTCCCACTGCCCAGGGCCCTGTGACTCCCTCCCAGCCAAGCAGCCCAGGCCTACTCCAGTGTGGGGATTTGGGTGAAGGCCCAGAGGAAAGGCTCACAGCCATGCATCCTTCCAGCCAAATCTGCTCTTCTTCCCACTGCCCTGGAGTTTGGGTCCTGACTTGGGGTGCTGCTGTGATGGGACCCACAGGCACTGTAGGCTACAGAGCTTGCAGCCAGAGCACCCCCACAAACAGGATTTAATAACCAGGCCCAAACCTTCATTGTCATGGATTCTTGTCCAGCCACTGTGTGTGATTCAGTAAACTGCTCATCATTTGGAGTGAGGAGAAGACATCTCCCCAGGGCTCACAAGTCCATCAGTGCAGGGACAGAGCTCTCAGAGATGCAGACAAGCCTGTCCATGCATTAGTTTTGGAATGAGGTACCTGGGCCTGGTTGCATTGGAACTGGAGCTGGGACATGCATATGATCAGGACACACCTGTTGGCTCTGCCCTGTGTTCACATCATGGGAGGCAGTGGGGAACATGTCTGGGGGGCACAGGGCAAGGATTTGTCCTCCAGTGTGGGACCATGTCCAGTGAAAGAGCCTCCTGAAGGGATATACCCTTCCCTTGAGTAAGATGGAGAGAGGGACCTTGGGCTGTGGGAAAGGTTGGCATGGGAAGGGCCAAGAGCTGCTGGTGCTGCTTCCAGATGAGCAGGGGGAAGAAACTGGTGCCAGCCAGGCCAGGCTGCAATTCACTCACTTGTGAGCTGGAGATGCAGAGGTGCCAGGGGACTCCTGGTATCAGCCTGGGACTGGGGCCAAGGTGCTGATGTTGGAAACTTGGAAAGAAACTTGGAGGAGCTGAGTGCTCTGGCAGGGACAGCCACACTCCTACTGAGAGCTGGACTGCAGGGGACAAGGGAGCTGTGCCACCAGGTGTGAGGGGACCCCTGCCCTACCCACTCCCCGGTAACCCACATTGACACCCACCCTCTGTACACCTGACCCCACAGCCTTGGGCAGCTCTGGTTTCCACCCCCTTTCTCTTCCATGAGGAACATTCTCTCTGGGCACAGCAGTGTCCTCTTACCATATTCCCCCAGAGCTCTCCTGCCCCACTGTCTTGGTTTCAGCTGCAGTAGAGTTCATTTTCTTCCCAGTGTTTGGTATAATGCTGTATTTTAGATTCAGGGTGAGAATATTCTTGATTGCACAGTGATTTCTCAGCAGCCAATTGCTGCTAGGAGACAGGCTGGGCACAGATCAGTGGCTGCTGAGCAACTGGGTATTTGGCATCATTTTTATGTCTTGGGGTTTATGACTCCCTCCTTTTAGTGTCTCCCTTTTAATCAAAAAGGTTATTAAATATTACCATATTTTATTTTATTTTCATTATTGAACTTTCCATACCTCCACCCACACATTTAACCTTTTCTTCTGATTCTCCTCCCCATCCCACCAGGGTCGGGGGAGAGGCCAGTGGCTGCATGGTGCTTAGTTGCCATGTGGGGTTAAAGCACAACAGCCACCACTCACCTGCCCCAGCAGCATCATCTCCAGTCATCTCTGTGGACACCCCCATCCCACCCCAGACCCTGTCACCACATTCCCCCAAGCACCCCCATCGCCTGCTCATCTCCCTGCACCCCAGTTGCAGGCTGATGGGTCCTGGGATTGCTCAGCTTTCAAGGAATGGGGCACACCCACCCCATCCCCTTGACCCTGGAGACAGCACTGCAGCTGCATCTTCATCCCTCCATGCGCACCCCCTTCCCTGTGCCTGTGAGATGTTTGCTTGCCCTGTTCCTGGCAGCAGTTCAGAGTCCACAGGCAGCCTTTGGAGGATAGCACTTTTAAATAGTTCCTCTGAATTAATTTTACAAGTCACAGCAATGCAGGAATGTACAGACGTTTACAGGATATTGTACAGATGGCTTCTGTCATATATTAGTGCTCTTACTATATACATATAGTACAGCCTTCAGGAGCCTCTGCATAGGCAGAGACACCCATGCCCCCGCACAGGGCACCCCAAAATGGAGCTGCTGCCCTGGGGCTGCTGGTTCACACAGGCTCCTTCGGGTTGGTTTAATCAGAGCTTGGCCCTGAGCCTTCCTTGGCTGGCCCTGTCAGGGGGTGACACCATCCTAAGCAGACCCAGCACACCCTTGCTTTGCTTGTCCCAGTCTCCTTCAGAGGATTTGTGGGACAGAGACCCCACTGATGCTCTGGAGGGAGTGGGTGCAGTCCCACTGCAGCGGTGTTTCCAGCCCCTGCTCCTCCTGCCTCAGTGGCAGCCGCAGCTCCCAGCCACCATGTCATCGTACTGCTTGAGGACCACGTTCTCATAATCATCGAAGTAGAGGAGGTTGATGGAGTGGAGCTTGTGGGGCACACAGCAGGGGCTGCTGACATCGTCGCTCAGCTGCAGGGCGTTGATGATGGACTGCACTGTGGCATGGTTCGTCGGCCGCATGTTCCCGCCCAGAGGGAAGGGGCAGGAGCCTTTGCAGTGGAAGGCGTTGTACCCCGGTGGTGAGATGATCCATTCAGACCAGCCAATCTCCCCGAAGTCCACGGACAAGGAATGCCTCTGGCAGGGCTGGAACCGCTTCCGCGAGCGTTTACTGCGTGACCTGCCCAGCTTGGGCACCGGGGGATCAGGAGCCTGAGGCTTTAAATCTGTCAGAAAGGAGCATCCGATGTCATTGGCCACAATTGCCATTGTGTGAGCCTGGGTGGAGGGAGAAGATACTGCAGCTCCCCCAGCCACCCCTCCCCACAGGTTTTGTCTGCAACCCTCTGGTCACAGCCTATCACTAGCCCAGACAGAGTCACCAGGAGGTGACAGCCTCAGTCTCACTGCCAAACTCAAATCAACTCAAATCCAGCTTCACGTCTGCAAGCCCGCAACACCCCTGAGCAGAGTGCATCTGAAAGAAGAGAGCCTCTCCCACCAGCCAGGGAAGGAGGTTTGGATTTGAGGAGCCCACATGTGGGGAGCACCTCCTAGAAAGGGATGTTGGCAGCGAGGGAGTCGTGCCAGGCGTGTGGGACCCACCTGGGAAGCTGGCTGTGGGCAGCGACGCTGTGGGCAGCGACGCTCCGCGGCGCCCATCGTCTGTGAAAAGGACCAACATGGGCTTCTTGCTCTCATGGTGGCCCCAGCCAGATGCAAACTGCAGTGGAGGGGGGTCGAGTGGGCTCCCCTCCAAACTCTGGACTGTCACCAGCAAACCCTGGTTGCTGTTTTCATCTTCAATCCAGTCACGAACCTGGGGAACCAAACCAGTGTCACCATGGACCAGGACAGGCACTGTGCCCGTGCCCCCACAGGCAGGTCCCAGACCAGCAGCAGGACATCATGAACCGGGACCCCTTGAGGCCACACTGTGTGCCACGGGAAGGGGTTGCTCCGGGGTTGCAGTGCAGGGGACACTGTGGCAGGAGCCAGCACCAGCACACCCTGCAGAGCAGTGAGACAAGGTTGGGGAAGGATGAAGCAGCCCCAGGGCTCTTGGCAGGACTTTTTCCTCCCCCTTCCAGAGGATGTATTCCCCCCGTGTCACTACAGAGACTGCAGACAGGAAACTACACTGGAGCCTGAAAGGTGAAAACAGAGGAAATGTGACTCACAGCTGGCGTGATGGCAAAGACCTCCCAGCCCGAGGTTTGCAGTGAGACAAGCCGTGCTGCCAGCAGCTTCTTCCCTCCAGGGGTGTCTGGCTTGTCTTTCTCCAGCACCTGGTACACACTGACCTGGGGAAAGCAAAAGAGGGTCACCCCAGCGTATTCTGCCCGAGGGGCTGATCCAGGACAGAGGTGTGGGGGGAGATGGGGAGCTGTCAGCATGGATTTGTAACAACCTTTGCTGATGTTTGCACAAGCCAGAAGGATATTTAAGAACCTGGCACAGTTAAATAATCATGATTCTCTGTGAAACATTTGTTCATGTGATCCCAGAGCCAGGCTGTGTTCCCACTGCAGGCAAATGACCCCAGTGTGCCAGTGGCACCCCTGGGCCCAGGCTGGGGGCCAGCCCCGGCCCCATCCCTCTCCTCACCCGGCAGAAGTGGTGCCTTTTGGGCCCATCTGTGACCCTCGGCCAGAGGCGGAAGAGGTGCAGCTCTGCCGTCAGAATCTTCTCGTTCTTGGCCACGCTGGAGAGGACGAACAGGAACCGCATCTCCTCGCCGTGAGCTGGAGAGAAGGACGTGCTGAGGAGAGCAAAACCAGGGGCGGCACCGCCACCGGCCCCGTCCAGCCCTTCCCCACCGCCGCACCCCAGCCCCACCGGGACGACCCCCGCCCTTACTTTTGTCCAGGAAGCTGCGGACGGTGTTGCCCTCCAGGATGTCAGGGTTCTTGGTGACACCATCCTCATTGGCGACTGTGTTGTACAGGTCCACCATGTACTGGGGCGGCCGCTTGAAGTGAGATGGGGGTGCCGGCGGGTCTTCCATGCCAAAGACTTCCAGGAGTTTTTTCAGCGCCTCAGCCCGCCGGCTCGTCACGCTGGCCGGGCTCGGACATGCCGTCGTGGCCAGGGCGAGCAGCAGCAGGACAGCCCGCAGCATGGCTCTGTGTTCGCTGTCCCTGCGCGACTGCCCCGGCCTCCCTGGTGCTGCATTTATAACTCACTGGAAAGCTCGACTGGAGTGAAATATGCACAGGAGCAATCAGGAGGGTAAAGAGAGCTAATTGCCATGCTAACAAGGTGAGAAGCCCGGCTCGCGGGCCCCCTGCATCAATTAGCCCCAGTACACAAGCGGGAGGCAGGACGGCTCACCAGGCACTGCTAGGGCTGGCAGGGCAAACGGGCTCTGGGGCTAGCAGCCCCTTGCCAGGGCCTCGGCTCGGCTGCATTTGCTCGCCCTAGGAGACTAACTGGATTTTAATGACGGCACTAATGGGACAAATCGGAGGACCTTTGTGTGGAGGAATGCGGCCCATCAGGATGAGCATCCCCTGCCCAGGCCGGCCCTCGTGCTGCCCCTCTGGCAGCGCTGCTGAGAGCGAGGGTCGTGGCGGGGTTCAGGGTCACACTGGTGTCCCCACACCCTGTCCCTGTCAGTGTGCAGGGGGGGGACAGGCTGTGTGTCCCGCCAGGGCCGAGGAGAGCCGAGGCCACGGGGCAGAGCAGGTTCCAGTGTCACACTGGTGTCCCCACACCCTGTCAGTGTGCAGGGGGGGACAGGCTGTGTGTCCCGCCAGGGCCGAGGAGAGCCGAGGCCACGGGGCAGAGCAGGTTCCAGGTTCCAGCAGAGGACCTGGTGCTGCGGCCCCGGCCTGTGGGGTCACACCGCAGCAGCAGCAGCAGCAGCACCCTAAGACAGCTTTTACCCCCTTTTTGTCTTTTTTTTTTTTTTTTTTTTTTTAGGAAAAAGGCTGGGAATTAAAAGGCATTTGCTGCTAATTCCTGAATGCTTGAACTTTATGAAACACCCCGGTAGTGGGATAAAAGCCAATTATTTAGGTCTTATTCCCCAATCACACAGAGAAACCAAGCTGGTGCAGGTGGACATGACACACTGCCAGAGGAATGAACGGGGAAAAAATTAGCATTAATTAACTAATTCAACAACTGGCTGAAGCCCTGCTAGGACCACCTGATGGGAGATAAGGTGAAGGCTAATGTCCAGCTGTGCCCACAGTTTATTCCAACCCAGAGGGCTGTTAATTATGCAGAACAGGCACGGCGGCACCGACCGGCTGCAGTGAACGGCATGGGGAAACTATCGGTATCCCCGAGATCCTTCCCCTCCTCTTCCCAGTCCAGCAGCAGCATGTCCCACAGGATCTCTGGGGGTGCCTGCAGAGGAGACAGCTCTGCCCCGGCGTGCTCAGCTCCTGGTTCCCTCTCCTGTCTCCGGCTCCACAGTTTGCAACCGGGAGCGGCCAACGCGTGCGCCCGCAGCCCGTGCCAGACGGCTGCATCCTCGCGGGATCGCGGGATGCTGAGGGGCCGTGGAGCTGCACAGCGGAGCCCCAAGGACCTGCAAATGGCCTACGATGTTTATTTTACAAGCTGCAAAACATTTTGTAGAGGGTTCATTTATTCCCGCTGGTTAAAGTAGCTTTTATTCAAAAAATTAGCCTTCTCTCATTTACATATCCTACAGACAGTCTGGCGGGGTCTCCAGGAGCCCCAGCCGCAGCTTCCAGCCTCGCCATCCCCGGCACTCCCCGGTGCACGCTTGGTCCCGGCGGCTCCGGAGCCTGCGCCTGTCACAGCCGTGAGGGGCACAGCGTCTGGGGGCAGCTTGTGCCCCAACCAGGCATTCCTTCCTCTTGTAACTCCCTGCAGTTAGAGAAAAACCAGTACAGCCCCAGTACAGGCCCAGTACAGCCTCAGTAGATCCCCAGAACAGCCCCAGTATATCACCAGCAGAGTCTCAGTACACCCCCAGTACAGCCCTAATACAGCCCGAGTACATCCCCAGTACATGCCCAGTACGCCATAGTACAGCCCCAGTACATCTCCAGTACAGTCCCAGTAGATCCCCAGTACATCCCCAGTA